GAAGAATACAGCTTTGATGAACACCTTTCTTGATTTTAAATGACGTGCTGTTCCCTTGCTTTGTTCATACAACAGCTTCTTAGTTTAGGTATAGGTTTCTTATGAAAATAAGAAAGTCTTGTGGGATTCCCATTCTTCTCAATGTTAACCATAATTTGTTATGATCCACACAGTCAAATGCCTTTACATTCAATAAAGTACAAATAGAAATTCTTCTGACATTATTTGTTTTCAGCTAAGATTTATCTGACATTATCCATTATATTTCTGGTGCATGTTGTTGTTATTATTGCCGTTGAGTCGCTTGTGACTCATAGCGACCCTATGTACAACAGCCCTAAACTCCACTCTGTCCTGTGCCAATCACACTGTCTCCGACACTCCCATCCCAATTATCCCAGTCACTGAATCAATCCACCTCATAGAGGGCCTTCCTCTCCTGCACCGTCCCTCCACCCTCCCAAGCATGATGTCCCTCTCCAAGGACCGGTCTCTCCTCACAACATGTCCAAAGTAAGTTAGACGGAGCCTCAGAATCCTTGCCTCCAAGGAGCCACCTGGTTTAACCCTTTCCAGGACAAATCTGTTTGTTTTCCTAGCAGTCCATGATATTCTCAATACTCTTCTCCAGCACCACAGCTCAAAGGCATCAATTCTCCTTCTATCCTCCTTGGTCATTGTCCAACTCTCTGATACAACTCTCTGGTGCATAGCTTCTTCTAAACCCAACTTGAATTTACGATAATTCCCTGTCAATGTACAGTTCTAGCTAGTTTTTTTGGATGATCTTCAGCAATATTTGGCTTATATGTGATATTAATGACAATGTTTCATAATTTCAAAGTCCTGTTGAAGTATATTCTTTGGAAATGAGAATACATATGGCTCTTAACCAGTTAGTTGATCAGGATGTTCTTCAAATTTCCTCGCACAGACTGGTGATATCCAGGGCTATGATTGCTAGTTATTTATTATCATCATAATCAGGTGCTATTGAGTCAAGTATGGCTACAGTGACCCTATAAATAATAGATCTGAAACTTGTCCTGTGGCAACATCACAATCTCTTACACACTTGAACTCATTGCTTCAGTCACTGTGTTAATCCCCTTGGTTGAGGGTCAGTGAGCATAAGTCAGTCAGTATCCCATCAATTTCTGAAGCGTACCTTATTCTTCATTATGACTGGCTCTTTATCATATGGTACTTCTGAAATAGAATGGGAGGGGATTGCCCATTTTTGTCTTGCAGAAGCTAGTGACATCTAACCCCCTATGCTGGGATCAGTAATACAACTGATTACACACTAGTCCAACAGAGCTCTCCAAATTGATAAAAATTACTTGCTTAAAAAGTTTAGTCTACTTCTTTCAAGGCAAAAACACAAACAAACAAAAACAACAAAAAAAACCCACAAAGCCAAAACTTCCAATATTTTGTATTAGAGCATAGTAAATCTAAAATAAGTTCTGCTGACAGACTGCTATCATTGATCATTTGGTCAGAGTTTCTACTGAAGAATCCTGCTCAAGAGTAGGAAAATGTCTAGACTAGAATTTCAATGTTTTTGTACTTCCTGAGCCATTTAGCTTAGATGAACCCTTGAATATCTTCCCTGAGATAATCTTTAAAACTTAAACTACAAATATCACCAGCAGTCTTCGTCAAGCCAAAGAAGAGTTCCATTTTATTACTGAAGAATGCCTTCTTTAAGCATTCTGTTCTCTTAATATCTTTTAATAAGGAATTAACTTGACAATAGCACTTAAAAGATTAGGTAAAGCCATTACAGGGTAGTTAATTTATTTTACTACGGGAAAGAATAATGCAAAACAATGTGAGAATGGTTGCAATATTGGAGAATATAGTTTGCAATGGGATTTACTGACTGATATTGGAATTTAATTCTGAAGCCTTTCTCCTTAAAATGTCATAGTCTGCAAGCTTTAACAAAATTTTCTTAGCTCCACAGCAACATTAAAAGTTTCATGGACAAACAATGTGTTTGTTTGGGTTGGATACTCTTTTACACTGGGTTGGATACTCTTTTACACTCATATGTTAATAATCCTTTAGGTTACTTAAAAAATAAACAAAGAAGCACATTGTTTTAAAGTCAGAACTGACAAATAGAACACCCTGCATTGGATTTCCTATGTTGTATATCTCATGGAAGAGGTCATTCATCCTTCTTCTAAGGAGCTTCTGGAGGATGGGAACAGCTAGAGAAGCAAGTCCTTTTGGACAGCAGTGTAACCTCTTATAGACTACACCCTCAGGAATACTCTTAGTATATACATAGTCTACTAAAGGAGGTCTTTACTCAGTAGGATCATTTTATTATATTATGAATCATGAGAGAGCTCTACTGGCACTTCTCTCACAGTCTAAATCCACCATCACTTCTGTAGGAGACAGAAGTGCAGTCTTCTGTGCAACTCATAGACTACCAAACTCAAATAGGGTAGAATATGAGTGGATTCCAATTCAACTGTAATGAGATGGAATTTTATATCAGAAAATATATTACTTCTGTTTGGTTCTTATTGTTAAAGGTATTTATCTATGTTATGTCTTCATTCTGACAATAACATATTACTTTAAAATAAATGAATAGGAAATATTTGTTATTTTGATCCTTTATGACACTAGATTTCAAGGTTTAAATTACTGTGAAATATTTTCAACAAACTAAATCGAGCAATAAAATTACTCATTTTGGCTAGTGTGTAAATGAAATAGAATTGTAAGTAGATTGTGTGTGTATCTGAAAGGGCCTATTAAAATGATAGAATAGAAAATTATCACCAAAAACTATAAAGGCAAATTTTCAACAAACATACAAGGTTTGGGGCTACAATAATAGTATGTTACTTCCTTTGACACAACTTACCTCTTCTAAATGAGATAATTAGAAAAGAAAAAACGCCTACGTAAGGAGTCAATAATTGTATTTATTTTTTGAGTCAATAATTTTAAAAAGGCATAATTATTTGGAAGCTCAACATATCTGTAGCCCGATTGTTTATTAATTGCATTTATAGTGTAAGTGTGTGTGTGTGTGTGTGTGTGTGTGTGTGTGTGTGTGTGTGTCTAAACGGAATTTTAAAACTGTGATCACTACATTATATCCATTATTTGTAACTCTGAAATTTTTAGAAACTTTTAGATGACAGATTTATCAAAAAGTGCTCTTTACTAACTAAAGTAAGGACAACCCAAAATCTGTTATGAACTGTCATTAGTAATTTAGCAGAGTTAGAAGGCAGTTCAGCCGAGTAGACAGAAAATTAAAACATGGGCAGCTCCTGATTGGAAATTTATTCATAGCAGGTAATGAAATAGCACAGTCAGGATTTCTGGTATTACTCCGAGTGAAAGATTTAATTCTGGTAACTTTGATGATGGCACTTGAATCAGAGATTATAAATGATGACAGGTTGTGACATATAGATGGGATAAAAATGAGCATCAGCAACATAGCTCTACTGAAAACAAGACGTGTATACAGGATTTTTTTAAAAAAAATGATAATTTCAAAATTATTTTAATTTTAGAAGAATCTCCTTTCAATACATTATTGCTCTAAAATGCTTTCTCCCATCCATGATATATTCCAGTTTGTTACTTTAATATAAATCAAATTATAAATTGTAAATAAATTACTAATTTACAGCTGAAATAAGAGCTAACATTTTGTTTTGATTAAGTATCTTTGAGGCCATTCTATCACATACTAATACTCTGTAAAACAGATCAAAACACTGTCCAATCCTAGGACAAATTGATCTACTCGATTAATATATAAATTTCATGAGAATTAATATTTATCTGAAAAGTTAATACTGTCAACTAAGGCTTTACTATTGATTATGTCATTATTAAGTGTAGACAAAATCCTTCAAAACAATTATACGTAACTTAAGGATGACAGAAGAATTGACACCTTTGAGTTTTGGTGCTGGAAAAGAGAGTCTTGAGCATACCATGGACATTGAAAAAAACAAATCCATCTCAGAGAGGGTGAAACCAAGTTTCTCCTTGGAGGCTAGGATTTTAAAACTCCTTCTCACATACTTTGGGTACATGGTCATGAGGGACGAGTCCTCAGAGAAGGCCATCATTCTTGGAAGGGTGGAGGGACAACTGAGGGGAGGGAGACCTGGATGAGATGGATTGATACAGTAACTGTGGCAATAAGGGTAGGTGTGTCAGAGTCAATCAGTGAGACTGGCTCAGTTTGGGGCAGGATTCAGTGCTGTTGTACATAGGATCACTATGAGTCACAGGCAACTCAATAGTACAAACAATTTAGA